TATCAAAGAACCCCAAGAATTCAGTTTTTGTTAATATCAAAATAAGTTTAATTTTGGACCCTTTGGACCTTAATGTAGACCAATTTGAAAACGGAACCAAAATTAAGAATCTAAATACACGGTTAGATTCAGCATATCAAAGAACCCACATATTTCAATTTTTGGTGAAATCAAACCATATCATTATTATTTGCATTTATATATAAACCAGAAATAACCAACTTAAAATGGAAAATTTTAAAGAAAAAAAAGGAAAAAAAGGAAAAAAAAAAAGGAAAGAAAAAATCCCCCCCAAATTTTTGAACCCCCTTATGATTCATCACCCAAAAACTCAATCCCAGCCTTCCCTTTGTGGTGTGGTACCTTGCAGTACAATTTCAGAGAGATCCATACACTTGAACACAAGTTATTGTCTGGAAACTAGAAAAATGCTTGTTTTTTGACCCCAAATTCCTAAACGTTTAGGGCAATTACCCCCAAACTCAAACCCAGCTTTCCCTTTATGATATGGAACCTTGTAGTACAATTTCATTAAGATCCATACACTTAAACTAAAGTTATTGTGCGAAAACCAATGTGTCTTCGGACGACGACGACGACGACGCCAACGTCATACCAATATAAAAACTATAAAATTTATTAAAACTAGAGCACCAGATAAAACATAAAAATAACGATCTAGTCTATGGTGCAATAAAGTACTGCTGTGTTCATCACGCAAAAACCACAAAACTTCACCAACTGGTTAGTCAAGTTGTTTCATCATTACGTACATGTATCTTCGTGTTTATCTTGCAACTATATACATTTACGAATGGCGGCACGCATTTGAGATGACAAATAGCACAGAAACTAATTTTTATCAAAACTATAGCACAGAATGTAACATTGTCAAAATTTTAGCACAGAAACTAACATTGTCCAAACTTGCGAAATTGTCCGTCATTCAACATTTTTCAATCCATTTAAACCAAACTTGGTATACACTTTGCACTAACAAGTTCGTTGTAATGTAATGTATAATATTACAAACCTAAAATATCAAATAAAACATAATTGTGTTATTCTTGCAAAACAAAAAGTCCTAAAACTATTCTAAAAACCCTATCCAACAAGTGTTATGTGCAGTTCATGTCTGCAGTGGCAGCATTTTTCTTGTGCAAGACTAAAAATGCACCACAAGCAAGGCACATCACGGTTTTGTGACATTTGTTAAGCATTTTGAAGTTGTTGAGTTTTACTTTTAATTTCAAAACTTATGGGATATTTTTATTATAATTTTTAATTAGAATATCAATTTTTATATGCATGCTTTGCTTAAATATCATATTTTTAGAAAAAAACATATTTTTTTGTATGGAAAGTAACTTTTAATTTCAAAACTAATGGCATGTTATTCTATTAGAATATCAATTTTAGTATGCATATTTTGCCATTTGATAAAGGACTTTTGACGTTTTGAATTTTTTTGGAGTTCCGTAATTTTGTTATTTTATTTTTTGCTTACCAGGGTATGTATACGTTTTTAAAGAAGACATATTTTTTTTAGAGATTTCTAATAAACATGGTTAAGTGTATGTCTCGAGATTTCTTTCTATTCGTAATTAATACACTGAAAAATCTAAATTAAGACCAGCAAAATGGCAAAACTTTATATAAATTGCTAGTTTACCGCCTTGGCAAAATAGCGCTAAAATAGCCACTGGTTAAATAATAACTGTCACATATGTGGCCTGCTTCATCCTAACTAGTGTTAGTTGTTATTTGCCTTCAGTAGACCATGAATATCTTATAATTGTATATCAGTTTACTGAGTAAACGCATCAGTGAACCGAGCTATTTTTATCTAATTTCATATGATATGTAAATTAATGACTGGTAATATGTAATTTACATCATACATAGGAAATACTTTGATAAGTTGCTTTCTTTGAAAAAGAAAAGAAGAGCAATACGTGAACCCGAGATCGCTGACAGGTCAAAACAAATTGTTGCTGAATTTTTGGCTTTTGATATGAACAAGAAATGTCTCGCCTGTTTTACTGACCATTGATTTTATGTTGAAATTCTTAAAGATAAAGGCTTTACTGCAAGTATCACATGACGATGAGGTCAAGGTTAGATAAATCCTGTAAGACAGACATGTTCACCATACAATTGCTACATACACCAAATATAGTTGACCTATTGCTTATGGTGATTGAACAACATACCATAACACAATAAATTGCTTCGCCGAGCGCAGCTGGATACGACCGCAGATGTCCAACCCTGAACAGTTGGGGCAAAAATGGATGCAATATTCGCGCTTGATACAGGTCTGAATTTGGATTGTAATTAAATATTTGACACATTAAAGGTTTTTGACACAGAATAACTGTAGTGAAAGAACTTAGAATTGGTTATATGATTTGAATTTTTATTCAATTTTTTGTGCAATACACTATGCTGTTGCGTATTAACCCCCCCCCCCCCCCCACACACACACTTTTTTTTTGCAAAAAAAATAATATTAGAATAATTTTTCTTTTTAGTTTCTGAAATCTGAAATGAGAAAAAATTGACCCATCACAATTTCTTTTTTCCCCAAAAAAATTCTTTCCCTAAAGATATGGTCATAATCTCAATTCAAATTCCCAATGGAGTTTGCAACCATAATTACCCATTTAAATTTACCATAGTGCTAACTTAATCTATTTTATAATAGAATTTAAAATATGGTGTCAAATCTTTCATATGGATTTTTTTGTAAAAAAAAAAAGATGCAACATTTGCAGATATTTTTAATGGTCTTCCTTTATAAATATGCATTTCTTTAAACATAATTTAAAAGCAGTGTAAGGGAGGTAATCAAAACGTTGTATTTGGATTACCTCCCTTACACTGCTTTTAAATTGTCTTAATTGTTCATTAACCATTACGTTATACATACTTTAAAAGCAGTGTAAGGGAGGTAATTCAAATGATGTATTTGAATTACCTCCCTTACACTGCTTTAAATTATGTTTTGTACTAAAGTATTTGTCCATTAACCAGGACACCCTTGTTCTTCCCCATTTTTTGCCCCTAATTCCTAAATGGTTTGAGCCATAACCCCCTAAAGCAAATCCTAACCATCCCTATCTGGTATGGTAACTTGTGGTATAATTTCAGAGAGATCCATACACCGTTCCACAAGTTATTGTCTGGAAACTAAAAAAATGCTTATTTTTGGTCCCTAATTCATTAAAGGGGCACTAGCTACGAGATATATAAAATATTGAAAATATAATTTCTTTTTGTTCAATCATTAACGAAAGTAAAATAGTGAAAAAATAATTCGCTTTTAGCGGAAAATATGGTTCAATTTTGTCAAAATAGGCTAAGAAATATCGATGATGAATTATTCACTTGCAAGTGAAAAATTCGACCTCATTGAATCCGTATTCATTGGAACTTCAATTTAACCCCTTAACTAGAGATGGATAACGCATAAATCGTGCATGATCAGTTATTTAAAGGAAAAGAATATCAACATTGACAGTGAAACAAAGGTAAATAATTTGATTGACTGATTCGATCCACAAAAATTCATTCTTTTACAGGTAAAAACGATAATAAACATATATTTTTATCTATAATATGAAATTAAATAGACCTAGAAAAATCCAATTGCACGAGTAGCCTAACCTATTTATATCTATATTTATGTGTATATCCCTTATATGGCCATCGGAGTTTTTCCGAGGTCAACTCGATAGTTAATTAGATGGCCTCTAGACTAAAATACTCACGAAACGAAGCTACATATTTTCGAGTCCGTGTCCTGTAAATTGTTTATTTTAGACTTTTAATAGTTTGGATAAATGTTTTACATTATTATAAATCAAATATGAGAATTTAAGTCGAATCGGTGAACATGAATTTGACAGCTAGTGCCCCTTTAACTATTGGTACCCTAACCCCCAAAATCAATCCCAACCTTCCTTTTGTGGTATTGAACCTTATGGTAAAATTTCATAGAGATACATTCACTTAAACTAAAGTTATTGTGCGAAAACCAATGTGTCTTCGGACGACGCCGACGACGACGACGCCAACGTCATACCAATATAGGAAACGGTCATATAAAAACTTAACAATGAACAATGAACCATGAAAATGAGGTCAAGGCAGATTATAACTGCCCGACAGACATGTACACCTTACAATCATTCCATACACCAAACATGGTTGACCTATTGCTTATAGTACTTGATATGGACCAAAACAAACAAACAATCTTATCGATGACCAATGAACCATGAAAATATGTTCAAGGTCAGATGAAACCTGCCAGACTTACATGTACCCAGCACAATCATTCCATAGACCACATTTAGTTGACCTACTGCTCATAGTATATGAAAAACAGACCTAATCATTAACCTTGATCACTGATCATTATGAGGTCAAGGTCAGGTGAACTCTGTCTGACGGATATGTAGATATTAAAAGGAACTAACATACGAAATATAGCTATCCTATTAATCATAATAAGTGAAAAATTCACATGACAAAAAAACTATAATTGTTTTCAAACAGTCGCTGAACCATGAGAATGAGGTCAAGGACAATGGACATATGACAGACTGAAACTTCCTAGCATAAGGTATCTACATACAAGCATCCAGGTCTTCTACCTTCTGAAATATAAAGCTTTATACAAATAGTGTACGCCACCACTGCCAGACAGTAATCCCTATGTCCGATGTGACATATTTCCGATGTTAAAGCATCTTTATTGGAAATATTTAATTGGATACGTTGTTGGAGTGTCTAACTGTGTAGATTATTAAATACGGTACTGGTGATGTTGTGGTACCTTGATTGGAAATATTGAATTGGATACATTGTTAGGGTGTCAAACTGTGTAATTATTAAATACGATACTAATGATGTTATAGCACCTTTATTAGAAATATTTTATTGAATACATTGTTGGGATGTATTACTGTGAAGATTCTTAAATATGGTACTAATGATGTTATAGCACCTTTATTAGAAATATTTTATTGAATACATTGTTGGGATGTATAACTGTGAAGATTCTTAAATATGGTACTAATGATGTTATAGCACCTTTATTAGAAATATTTTATTGAATACATTGTTGGGATGTATAACTGTGAAGATTCTTAAATATGGTACTAATGATGTTATAGCACCTTTAATGTAAATATTTATTTCGGAAATAGATATAAAAAGTTCACCCAAGTTTCATGAAAATTGGTGAAAGGCTTTTTGAGTATTTGTCCTAATGAACATGTTTTCCTTGTCAGGTTGACATTTGCTTAATTTGTTGGGAATTTTTAAGTGTTTATAATAGGCAATGGCAGTGGCGGATCCAGGGAGGGAGGGGGGGAGGGGGGTGTTCCTGGGATTGCAACACCCCCTTTTTTGATGATCAGTGCTTTTGAATGAGGACATATGGTTGGAACACCCCTTTTAAAAATGGCTGGATCAGCCCCTGAATGGATATTGATTATAAATGGCAAAAACTTGGATGGCCTTTGAAAAGTGATCAAAACATTGCCGTTAATAAGTATCAGTAATTACAACACAGTCTCAAGTACTACTCTATGAATAGAATGCATTCAATATCACTTTCTACACATTTATACATTATTCTATTGTACCAGTCGGTAACTTTTATAGAATGAAATCAGGATGCCCAGGCTAAACTGCACTTCTATCAATCAATGCTATTTAGACTTAGAAAGGTTGAAACACTTTTCAAAATAAGTAACTGCAGTGATTTATACATGAAAGTGATCCCAGCTACCCAGTTCCAAAAATAAACACAAGTTGTAAGGTATGAAAATCTTTAACATATTAATTTCCAGATTCAAATTTTCCATGAAGTGAATATAATGATACACTGAACAGCCACTCATTTTAAAATAATTAATTAATGAGATATGATTCTGAAAACAAGTATGTATTTATATTTATTTAGACACATAAATATTCATCAATATTTTCAATAAAATGGCCATTCTAACACAAAAATACATGATTATGGTAATTTCTAGATCCTATAACTGTAAAGATGCAACACTGTTTAAAACTTAAAAAGTTGTACTTTTGTACAACTATAATTTTTTTTAACTGAAAATGACAAAAAGGGTGAAAATAAATTCCCATCACACAATATTCATATAATATGAACTTAATATTTGAGAATTTATAATGCAATGATAAAATGATTTTCATAGCTGAATGAAAGCATACAGCTACTTTATGGTTACACATCAACATAAATGTATTTCACAAAAATGTCTGAATATTTATAAAATGATTTGGACTTCAATCTTAGATAAATGTACTCCAAGATTTAAGGAATCATATGCTTATCATTAAAAGTTCTATAAATATCAGTTTAATGACCAATAATGAACTTTTACATGTTACAAAGCTGTTACAAATATGAAATGTAAAGATTGGTAGATGACATAACACTGGCTATGGCAAAATTAAAAATAAAAAAAAAGAAATCATAAACATTTAACAGGAAGCTTATTATATTAATCAAACTTGTCTTAAACAACAACAGTTATGATAATGTACAGAAAACAGTTCACATATTGGAATTAATATCCCCCTTGTCCTCTAAAACTTCCTCCTCCAAATCCGCCTGATTGTCCATAACCTCCACGTCCTCTCCCAAATCCACTTGATTGACCACCTCTACTGAATCCTCCTCCTCCTCCACCTCTTCCAAACCCTCCTCCACCAAAATTTCCTCTTCCTCCCCCACTGAATCCACGTCCTCCATACCCACCACCTCCAAAATTTCCTCTAGATCCTCCAAAACCTCCCCTACCACCAAATCCTCGTCCACCACCGCCACCAAACCCACCTCCTCCAAATCGTCCTCGTTTGTGTGGTCCACCAAAACCTTTAGCTCTGAAAAATTAGAGTTTCATTAAAAATTAATCTTCAGACTCCATTTTAAAATAAGTTAAAATCATACATCATCTCTGAAATAAACAAAAATATATATATCACTGCAAATGACATTTTAAATGAAATTAAAATTCTAATATTTGCTGGATTTAATAAATAAAATTTGGAAACTAAAAAAAAAAAGTCCTACTATATAATTTTTGGGATGTTTTAATGTGGCAAAAATTGGTTGATATATTGATTTTTTTTGTATGCCAGACACATGTTTCGTCTACAACAGACTCATCAGTAACGCTTGAATCAAAAAAGTCAAAAAGGCCAAATAAAGTATGAAGTTGAAGAGTATTGAGGACCCAAAATTCCTAACAGTTTTGCCAAATACAGCTAAGGTAATCTATTCCTAGGGTAGAAAATCCTTAGTATTTCAGAAATCCAAAGTTTTGTAAACAGTTAATTTATAATTATGACCATATCAATGATAATTCATGTCAACACAGTAGTTCTGACTACTGGGTTGGTGATACCCTCGGAGAGACAAACTCCACCAGCAGTGACATAAACCCAGTGGTTGTAAATATCTCAATATAATAATGTTAGGAATCTTATCAAAATTTCAATCCTTGTATCTACAAGGATTTAAATTTTGATAAGATTCCTGACATTATTACTCAAATGTTTTATATGCCATCATGGAATTATCCTGGTATCTATGATGAGTTTATTTACTAGTAAAGACAACCACTAATAAGATTCCTGACATTATTACTCAAATATATTGTATGACTTCATAGAATTACTAGTAAAGACAACCACTGATGAGATTCCTGACATTATCACTCAAATGTATTGTATGACATCATGGAATTACTACCTAGTAAAGACAACCACTAATGAGATTCCTGACATTATTACTCAAATGTATTGTATGCCATCATGGAATTACTAGTAAAAACAGCAACTGATGAGATTCCTGACATTATCACTCAAATGTATTGTATGACATCATGGAATTACTACCTAGTAAAGACAACCACTAATGCGATTCCTGACATTATAACTCAAATGTATTGTATGCCATCATGGAATTACTAGTAAAGACAACCACTAATCATGGAATTACTAGTAAAAACAACCACTGATGAGATTCCCGACATTATTACTCAAATGTATTATATGCCATCATGGAATTACTAGTAAAGACAACCACTGATGAGATTCCTGACATTATTACTCAAATATATTGTATGACATCATGGAATTACTAGTAAAGACAACCACTAATGAGATTCCTGACATTATTACTCAAATGTATTGAATGACATCATGGAATTACTAGTAAAGACAACCACTAATGAGATTCCTGACATTATTACTCAAATGTATTGAATGACATCATGGAATTACTAGTAAAGACAACCACTAATGAGATTCCTGACATTATTACTCAAATGTATTGAATGACATCATGGAATTACTAGTAAAGACAACCTTACTAGTAAAGACAACCACTAATGAAATTTCTGACATTATTACTTAAATGTTTTATATGCCATCATGGAATTACTAGTAAAAACAACCACTAATGAGATTCCAGACATTATTACTCAAATGTATTGTATGACATCATGGAATTACTAGAAAAGACAACCACTAATCATGGAATTACTAGTAAAAACAACCACTGATGAGATTCCCGACATTATTACTCAAATGTATTATATGCCATCATGGAATTACTAGTAAAGACAACCACTGATGAGATTCCTGACATTATTACTAAAATATATTGTATGACATCATGGAATTACTAGAAAAGACAACCACTGATGAGATTCCTGACATTATTACTCAAATGTATTGTATGACATCATGGAATTACTAGAAAAGACAACACTGATGAAATTCCTGACATTATTACTCAAATGTATTGTATGACATCATGGAATTACTAGAAAAGACAACCACTGATGAGATTCCTGACATAATTACTCAAATGTAGTGTTTGACATCAGTCCAATGTATAGTATGACATCATGAATATAAAAAGTATCTAAATGTATGTTTTAATGATTAATTAAAGAGCCTAATCCACCAGTTTAGAGTTGAAAATAAAGAGACAGAAAAATGCAAAAATATCTGCAAATGATTTTTACAATATGATAAAGATTACGATAAGCAAGAGGTCTCTTAAAAGATTTGACCCGGTTATGTTGGTACTTCCCTTTGGGATTCATAGACTTAAATCTTAATGTAAAACTTCTGGTTGTTAAGCCAGACAAATATGTTACTCTGTATTAGTTGCTGCATGAATGAATTAATGCTATTTCCACTGTCTTTATCAGCTATCCATCCAAACCACAGCTAAAGGACCAGCCTTGGTAGACAACAGGTAAGAGACCCTGTAAAGTTTAATTAACTTCCAATTTTGTGAAAAGACATATTTTAGCACTGGTGGGAAATTGGAACATTTGAAATACTTAGCCTTAACTGAAAAGGATTCTCTTCCTAAAACAATTACAATGGTTATGTACCATTATATGGACAACATTTTTTTCTGGCAGATGGTCATACCAATACTTTATAATGAATATAATATGGTGTAAAAGATTTAAGTGGTATCATTTTGTAAAAAAAATGTGTTTTAATTTTCATCATGTTTGACAAAATAAAATTAAACATTTGACAGCACAGCACAATGTAAACACTATCATAATATGTTTCCTAAATACTCTAACAATAAAATATTTGTTTTGTTTTATACAGAAATTAAAAAGATGAACAATTAAGAAATTATGATATTGTGCATTCTTCAATGTTTGTGGAGTACCAATTTTCATAGATTTTGTAGGTATAGGTAAATCACAATCCAATTTTGAACAAAGTATAAACTTTATATAGGCTTGTCAGCAGACTTTGACAAAACCAAGAAATCAAATATTTGCAAAAACAAAAATTTTACCTAAATCCACAAAAAATTGATACTCCCAAAAAATAAATGAACTCACTGTATAGGAAGTACTATGCAATAGTTCATACAAAACAAATGGAAATGAGATGGTGGTTAAACAGGTTTTATAGGTTTATTCAACACAAATCACTTTTAAAACATCTGAACATTAAATAATTACTGAACAACAAAACATTTCTACTAACTACTATAACTTTAAATTTAGGGTGGGCAAAAAGGATTTAAAAAAGGATCCGAAACCATAAATCCTGTTAAAACCAAACTGTCTGACTATAACATCTAATTTGTTTTCATCTGAAAATCATAAATGAATGCTTTAAATGTTTTAATGGATATTATAACATTACTTTGAAATTTAAATAATTTGCAAAAATTGCATAATCAAATTAATTTTCTGAATTCCAATCAATAATTTTTTCAAATATACTGATGTGATGGATCTTTAAACATTTGGTTTAAACAGGCTCCACTGTAACAAAACAAAAACTGTTCCACTACAAAACAAATTTCCAGCTTACAGACAATGTTCCTGGTTTTGTTCAGAATCATTTTTTAATAATTCAGTCTTGTAACATCGTCCTGTATGCTTGTTATTGATTTCATCCTCCATTTCAATCCTCATATGACTGAATCCCCTCTTTTTATTTTGTCCCATTGTCACCTCTTTAACTCTTTCTGTTTCTTCAATGCCATTCCTTCCATAATTCTGTTCTGAATCATTTTTTAATAATCCCACCTCATACAAGTAACATCTAGTGTATCTTTCAGTATTATCACTGCTGATATCATCCTGTGTTTCAATTTTAACACCATTGAATCCTATTTCTGTATTTTTCCAATTTGTCACAGGTTTGTTTCCTATTTCTGTGTTATGCCAATTTGTCACAGGATTGATTTCTATATCTGTATCCTGCCAATTTGTAATAGGTTTGATTCCCGTTTCTGTATCCTGCCAATCTGTCACAGGATTGATTCCCATTTCTGTATCATACCAATTTGTCACAGGTTTGATTTCTATTTCTGTTTCATGCCAATTTGTCACAGGACTGATTCCCATTTCTGCATCCGGCCAATTTGTCACAGGTTCTATTCCTATTTCTGTATCATGCCAATTTGTCACAGGACTGATTCCTATTTCTGCATCCTGCCAATTTGTCACAGGTTTTGTTCCCATTTCTGTATCATGCCAATTTGTCACAGGTTTGATTTCTATGTCTGTATCATGCCAATTTGTCACAGGATTGATTCCCATTTCTGCATCTGGCCAATTTGTCACAGGTTTGATTTCTATTTCTGTATCCTGCCAATTTGTCACAGGATTGATTCCCATTTCTGTATCCTGCCAATTTGTCACAGGTTTTATTCCCATTTGTGTATCATGCCAATTTGTCACAGGATTGATTCCCATTTCTGAATTCTGCCAATTTGTCACAGGATTGATTCCCATTTCCGTATCCTGCCAATTTGTCACAGGATTGATTCCCATTTCTGTATCCTGCCAATTTGTCAAAGGATTGATTCCCATTTCTGTATTCTGCCAATTTGTCACAGGATTGATTCCCATTACCGTATCCTGCCAATTTGTCACAGGATTGATTCCCATTTCTGTATCCTGCCAATTTGTCAAAGGATTGATTCCCATTTCTGTATCCTGCCAATTTGTCACAGGTTTGACTCCCATTTCTGTACCATGCCAATTTGTCACACGACTGATTCCCAATTCTGGATGAACCCACCCTGTTTCATTGCTGTCATAATTTCTATCTGTTTCCTCAGAGACTTTCAACTGTTTCTCTTTACTCTCAATATTTCTTCTCGTATTTCCAGTCTCTACTTTCACCTTAACACCACCTCCCAAATCATCAATTGCAGTCCAGATTTTAATATTATCATTAGCATTTAAATTAAAACTGTCCCTCTTACTTCTTTCTTCAATTTTTGAATGATTCATCTGGTAATCCAGTAGTGTGTATGGAATATCATTCGTATCTTGTGGTTCATTTTTAATCACCATTTGCTCTTGACAAATCTC